GGGGGGATCAAACATCTCATCACAACCATCAAATTAGAAGTAGCACCGTGGACCATTGGGTCCACGAAACACCGTTGAACGCCTGGCACAGTTGAACGCCTGGGCCAGCAGCGCCAGGAGCCCGTCAAAACACCACGCCATAAACGCACGCGTGCGTGTGGTCTCCTCCCGCCCGCCGCCTCTTTTTTTTATCATCCCGCTTCCTTTTCTATTCCCTCCCGTGTCATTCTCACCCGGTTGTCTGTATGAACTCTCTTTATTCTCATTCGACCCCCTTTCTTTTCTCGTTCTCTCTCATACTCTCTCAACGCACCGTGATCTGCCTGCCTGTCCGTCTATGGCGTTCTTGATGAGCACGTGCAGACCAGCCAGCTCCTAAATGTCTTCCTACTCAATGAACCCTTCACAGCCCTTTTCCGCGATATCTTCTTCACTTTTTCCCGGGTTTCCCCTTGGTCGCCTGTTTGGTCTTGCCACCCTTTGTGGGGGGTTCCAACGCCGCACGTTCTTCCTCCAAAGCTTCCTTTCGCGCTCTCATCTGCAACAGGGAGGAGACAACGGTGATATGTACAATTCCGGCCTTCTTGTGAGACAGCACGCGTTCGAAGGGAGCGAGGCTGATGTAACGAGATGAGAAAGAGAGCGGCGAGGTTCAGTGGCGAGTGCCACACTCACGTGTGATAATAACACTGAAAGCTGGGAAGAGTTTCTCGGAAGAGGATCATTATTGGGTGCAAGGTCGCACAAGCCCGATTAAGTCGGCACGAGGCGTTGCTAATTTCGTGACACTAGTCCGACATTTTGGGAAGTTGTTGCCTATTGGTTAATAGGAAACCCAACTTCTCAAGAAGAAGTAAATCAGCTGATGCCCAACAGAGTCGAATGATTCCTCTCCCGCTGGTCGTTTGACGAACCGCCTTTCACGGTAACAATCTACCCTATGGGTTCGTCATTCTAACAAGAAAGGGTTCCGCGATGGGGGCACTTTCCTGACGCCGGAAGGGTTCAAAATAAAAATTCCCTGCCCCTCGAGTATACTCATGAACAAGCTCTTCCATACTATGTGCTCAACCGACCGTATCTGACACTCTACATGTGAGGAGCACTTGGTCAGTAGCTTCTTCTTGTATGAAGAAGCTCCCACTTGAACGCTCCCAATTTCGAACTTCTCAATCATGGTGTTTGGTACGCGTGTACTGTTCATAAATCCAGCACCATCCCTTCGGCAGTACGCCATACATACTACCGTCGACCTTGTCCTAGAATCTGTATTATTGGACGACATTTTCTTCGAGAAACACCACCGAGGTCGTGCCCACCTTCGCAATGAGGTCTTGCACAATTATTTCCCTGTCGCGGAGGAACGGCAGCCGAGCCTGTTTGATGCTTTCCTCGCGTCCGCGAATATACTCCAGCTATATGTTGTGGGTCATCGGCACGGACGCAAACAGGGGGGGG